TGTTTAAAGCTCTGTATTTTTCTTTACAATGCGGCTAGGTCTTGCTTTTTAAGTGAACAATCTTTTTTATTGATGTACAGCAGCACATAGTTCTTCAATCCAGCCTTTCTTGCAGTCGTATTTCTGCAGTTTTATGTGAGGAAAAAAGCACACAAGCCACCATACAGAACAGTGATAGATTTTCTTCTTTGTCTTAATCATGTTCTCCTAACCTCTTCACTGATTAAAAGAAAAGTTGTGCTTGAGATAGAGACTGTTAGAAGAACTGTAGAGCTGTGGAACTGTTCCACTTATGAGAAATGCTGCTGTCCCAGAAAGGGAGACTTCTTGAATGAGGAGGATACTTTACAGTGAATTACAGCAGCGTGCATTCTCTTCCATACAGTCCTGGCCCATTGCTGAGGGTTCGATATGAAGTATTACAGCTGAACTCACTTCCTGTTCAGCTGTAGGCACATATTGTGTCACAGGCTTTTCTGTATGCTCTTCGAATCTTAACAGGGGTGAGTTCTGGCATTGCAAAGCCTCTCGAAGGTTAGGAATGTCTGGGGACTGGAGGTACATGAAGAAGTTGGTGAGCACAGGGGACTGGGAGACAAGACTGCTTTGTCTGACATTCTGTTGTCTGTTGCTGATGCACTGTCAGATAGCCCCATTATCTGTACTACCACCTCATCCCTCCCTCATCCAGTACTCTGCAAGAGGCTAGATTAGCTTTTTTACTCATTAATACAACTCAAAGTAAATGCATTTTAGAATATTGCAGCCTGAGACTGTGGGAGTGGGGGGGGAGTAGAAAGTAAGAGGACAAAACAACCGCAAAGAGGAAGAACAACAGCAAAACGAAATTAATTTGAGTGCCAAGGAATTGTTCACATTGTCATTTATTGCCTTTATAAAAACTGGGAGATAACAAGAGTGTAAAAGCAGTAAGGCTATTTGAGAACTGACTCTCATGCTTCCTGTAGAAATTATGGTTATTTCACTCTGATCTGAGGGTGACAGAGGGGGTCATTGTTGAAGCTACCTGTTTTATTTTAGTACTATAATAAAGGATCCTTTCTGGAAGAAAGACGTGGTTTCATTAACCATGGATTTTGTTCGTCCTAACAACCTCTGAGCACCTATCACATAAGTCAAAGCTCTTGATTCTAGTTACCTCTGCAGAACAGGAAGAAGCATTACTGGAGCTGTCACAAAGTGTTCATAGCTTTGTTTCCCTGACACTTAAAAACACAATACAATGCCATTTTCATTGCTTCCACTATTTCTATCCCTTTTATTGCACCAATGCTAGTGTTCCTTTGGTGCCTTGGTGAGCTGATTTGGCTCATTAAACCAGCAGATTATTGTGGTTTTCTGTATTCTGATTGTTTTATTTTGTTGGGATTGCTTTTCTTCACTCTAATGAGCATCCTGACTCATTGCAAGCTCAGATAAGTGCTAGAGCAGACTCAAGGGGAGGATTGAGGGACGAGTGAACAGGACCACCCTCTTTAACAGCAATGATCTCTTAGATTGTCTTAGTTGCGCATGAAAATTTCTGCTCCTGCATTTATCTCCATGACTGTGTCAATCGGGGAACTTGCAGAGTGGGAAAGCAGGTAGTAAGGGAATCATTGAGGAATGAATTCCTAGCTCTTTCAGTGCATCTTTGGTGATTTGAGGCTATGGGGATGATAATAGGGAGGAAGTGAAAGTGTGAGGTGAGATGTAGTCTCTATCTGATATGTTTAAAACAAAAATCAAAACCTTTACCATGTTAAATATGCAGTTCATTATTCTGTTTTCTTTGTTCAATATGTGACCATTACTTTGTAATAAGTCATGGAAATTTTGTTGTGAATGAACTGTTTTTAATGATGTTTCTCATTGTATCGGTAGATTCAAGATGCATTTTTTCAGCTTCTCTGTGCACGAGAGGTATGATATTGACTTTCAAGACAGGAAACGGAGGCATGCAAAGGGAGCAACAAGGGTACTATGATTCTCTTGCTCAGTGCTTAGATGTGTAGGACCTGATGTTTTGGAGAACTTAAAGGACAGAAGTTTGTTTTTTTGCCTTCGTTGTAAGTTCATACTCAAATCTGAATGCAGAGTCTCTAAATGAGGAGAACATATAACACCAATTTAGTTTAAGTGAGTTGCCTTTCATCAGATTGAAACCCTTCTGATGGAAGAGTACAGTACAGTTTCCCAGGACAGCCTTCTGTTACAAGCTGTAAGACCATCCTCTGCTTCCTGCTGTCCATGGGTCTTTCACAGCATCTGCTTCAACTTCTGAAAAACTATGTAGGATTCTGTAGACCAGCAAGTGTTAAATGAGCTGTCGTCAAACCCCTCTTGAGAAAATTGGTCATGAGCTGAACCTCCCAAGGTACAGCTCCAGATGGACCTTTAGGGTTTTTTAAAATGTATCTCAAAACACAGGTGTTTACATATGACTTATTGCCAGGTAGAATTCCTAATTTTAATAGAAGACATGTATGGGTGAATGTCCCAAATATATGGAAATATGACCACTGAAATAAGATGTCTGTATAAGGTCAGACCATAAGTGTGTGTCTTCTGCATTCTGATCTCTGACAGTGGCTAGTGGGGACAAGACCTTCTCCCATTTTATGTCTGACACTTGACACTACTGCTGTACGTAGGTTTTATGGGATAGAATCTGAATGTAGATGTAGACTGAACTACTTTTCAAACGTTAGTGTCTTTGTTAATTCCTAACCTTCTTGAGGGACCAAACATATTTCTCTCTGCTACTGAGTTTCTTGTGTGGACAGGTACTGCACTACCATCTGCTAAAAAAGAGGCTAGTGTCACAGCCAGACCCTGTACACCTGTGTGTACTTGGAACTGCTCCTTGAGGGTCTTTTCCACCACTGCTGTCTCTGGACGCAGAAGACCAAGAGCCTTTTCTGCACACTTATGCCATCTTTCACAACCCTACGGATGCAACTACTGCTTCAGTTCTGGATGTGGCTCTAAAGTGGTCTTGATACAAAGGATTGCTACAGAGATGCAAAGGACTGAATAGCTCACCATCAGCCACTTGCCATTCAGCTTTGGCCTGGTATAGGAAGAGACCTTGAGGAGTAGGAGGGAGAGAGTGTGACTCCCAGAGGGCTGTGTGCTCACCTGCATTTTGTTTCCCTTTTTTCTTGACAGCTGGTCCTTCTCATCTTTCAAGCCTAGAAGGCAGCTGCTATCTCTTCTTCAGTTTGCAGATGAATGCTACTGTATTTGCTGCCAGATATGGTGGTCTTGTCAATGGATGCAGAGTTGCATGAGTTGGTATGACTTTAGTCCCAGTTTAGGAAGTTGAACTGATTCATCTGGGAAACTAGCCTGTCTAAGGAAAAAAGAAAATCCATTTTCTTCCAATTCTGCAAACTGAAGCAGTCTGCCCGGGGACTGTAATCGTGTTTTGGGGAGTGAGACCATGGTTGTTATGAGATTATGGTGCAAGTCTGGACCATCACTCTAAAATCTGGCATTGCAGTGGGCTGGTAGCTTAGGGTTTGAAACTGGTAGCTCACGCTTTTCTCCTGCTGTGTGTTCCCTGCCTCTACCCTAGATCTCCAGATTTGTGCAGCTAGAGGGTGAGTTGATTATTGAACTGTTTTGGGAAGTGAGAGGAAGCAGGAACTGATCAATGGAAAACTGAGCTGCATGATGACTAGATCTGCATCAGGGAAGAGAAGAAGAATGTGAATAATGCTTTCCACAGCAGCCTGGAGATGCATCAGATTAAGCATAACATGAGACAGCACCTCATGCCTTGTTACTCATCCTTGCCCAGCCATTGTCATAATAAATGATTTTCTACTTCGTCTGGAACACCTGTGAATATGTAGCATATTTCCTTTTGAATTCTCTTTCTTTACATGGTCCTTCGATTTCATAGTGTCGTCTTCATGTTTTGCTAGCCTCCATTGTACAGCTTGAGGAGCACTTGTGCTGCCCCCAGTCAGCTTCAAAGAGTTTTCAGTTCCCTCTGTCTCCCTTAGCAAGTCATCTGAAGCTGTACCCTCCTCTGCTTTAAGAGCTTTTTTCTTTCTTTCTGTCCTTTGAGTGAGGAAGACGGGGCTCTTGGCTTCTGGAACTGTTTCCTGGCGTAGCGAATCATTGCACAGATAGTTGCTAAGTTGTGTTTTCTGGAGGACAGTTGGGAACAACTCCAAACAACTCAGGAAGGCCCTACTTTTGGGAGAATTCTTCAAAAGACTCTGGGAGAAGTTCCAACATGACATGTTTTTCACCAAAGTTGAGGGCAGAGAGAGACTGGCTGGGAATGGGCTCTGAGAACTAGAGTGCTGGGAGGAGGCGCAGAAGCAACTAGGTTCACCATGGCTTCCCAGGGGAGGATAACTGAAAACCTCTGCTTTCCAGGGGACTGTGCCTATTTGCACAGACCTAGAACTTAAACTGGATGTTTGTCCAGAGGTCTCTGCACAGTGTTTCCTACTGTGGTTCCCTGCAGCTTCTGGTTCAAAGAATGTACTACAGAGGAACTGGTGCCTGCCTAGTCCTGGAAGAGAGCATTCTACGTTGGGTCCTGTATTGCCATGTGAATGCACGCTGCTGAAGCGCACATCACTGGCTGGGAGCTGTTGTGATGGACTGGATGGCTTCTCTGTAGTGCAGTAAGATTTACAACATACCCATGCTAAATATTTACTTAATGTGAGGCTGTAGAAAGGGAAAAGAGCATGCGGATGTATTTACTGACAAACGTAGGGTCTGAAGAAGTGTGGATAGCTAAGACCGCATTAGCTTTAAAGCGTGTGCTGTGTTTCAGCTATAATTAAGATTGATGAATACAAAATTGTTATGTGTACACCACAATTATTTGTTTGGAATTGAAGCATATTCTGCTGGTTTTAGCAGTAGAAATTTTTAAGTTAAGACTTCAGATCAGTTTCTAGGAATTGCTGGCTTTTTCAGGCTGAGATTGTGTTAAAATAACGTATTTGTTTTGGATTTTGCAGATTGCCTTCATGACCTTGACTCTGTTTCCTATCCGACTCTTTTTTGCTGCTTTTATGATGTTGCTCGCCTGGCCTTTTGCATTCATTGCTTCAATGGGATCTGATGAGCAAGAGCTTGAAAAGCCCCTCTCCTGGTGGCGAAAGTAAGTCACTGATGTGGTGAAATAGTGAGGGAATCATTTAGTTCAGCAGTTTGAAATCGAGAAGATTGGAAATACCTGATAGCTGTCCCATAGACCTGCTTTTCTCTTCAAAAGAAAACCATAAAAATTATTATTTAAACACTTCCCTCGAATGAGAAACTAAAAATACCCTAACTGTTTGATTTGCCAGGTGTCCCAGGAATTACAGGGAGAAAAATTGATCATGTCTGGCCTCTTACCTTTGTAGTGTGAAGGTTCATTGTGACATCCTTCAACTTCAATTATTCCTGTAATGTCACCTTCTTGTTATGAAGATTGACAGTATGGAATGTGCCCAGATTTCATATTTTAAATTGTTGTTTTAAAATGCTTTCCCACATTGTTTGCTACCCTGTGATGAATTGACAACACTTCTGTTGATTCTCTAGGTCTTACTCCATGCTTTGGTGCTTATTAGTAAGTCTCTGCTTGCTTTGATATTGGAATGCTAATTAAGGTAGAATGTAAGACAGTGTTCACCCATCCATGAAAACTGCTGTTTGAGGAGCAAGAAGGGAGGAGTGTATCACCTCTTCTTAAGACAACTTTAAAATTAGGAGCTGGCACTAACATGAGGGAAGCTGATTGTATTTTGCATCACAGGAGAGAAAGAGATTGAGAACCACAGAGGCATGTCACTTTGCATTTAATTTGGAATGGTATCTGTGTAATAGCAAAAGAAATAATGGACTGCCTTCAATCTTGCATACAGTTATTTTGAAGCTTTTTAGATTGTCCCTCCCCCATTTCATCTAGTTTTTGCTGTCACCCTGCTCTCCAGCCTCCAGTCCCTGTGAGTATAATAATTTCTGGTGTTTGGTTTTTGCACTGTGTACGTTCAAAGTAAATGTTTCTCTTTTCATGACTGTCAGCTTAAAAAAACAAGTAAACAAAACCCCACTAAAAAAAAACCCCAAACATCCCAAAGCACTTAAGGAGGAGATGGGGAGAAGGGAAGAATAAAATATTTCCACAGCTCCCCAGATGTGTTCTGTAGGTATTTCTATGTTTGAGCATCTCTGCCCTACATTTCTCCACTGTTTTGTTTGGGTAAACTCGAACCCGTTGCATTTTAGCAATATCCTAATAGCATTTTTCAGGACTCAGTTTATTAGAGCTTTTTTGGTGTTACTAGAAAGCATTATTAGATGTTGTATAGAAGAAACTCCACAGTCATAGTCTGAATCAAAATTAATTTAGTGGTAAAATAAATGCTAATCTTACTGTGATTAAAAAGCATTCATATTGAGGCATGAAATGAAATTGAATGGCAACTTACCCACAAAGTGGTCTTAAATCTGCTGAGAAAGAGAAAACAAAATGTCTATGCAGCGTTCCTGCTCTGTTTAAGCAGCATATCCTACCTGTACTTTTGTCATGCTTATAAAGTTTTTATGTAACGTTTTCTTTTCATTATTTTAAGGTATTCCCATGGCAGCATAACTCTTTTCTCAACTTTTTACAGGATAGTGGATATTTTGCTGAAAGCAATCATGAGAATGATGTGGCTTGCTGGTGGATTCCATTGGATAAATGTAAAAGGCAGACAGGCGTTGCCGGCGGAAGCAGCAATATTAACTGTGGCTCCCCATTCTTCCTACTTTGATGCTATTCCAGTAACTATGACCTTCGCCTCCATTGTGATGAAAGCTGAAAGCAAAGATATTCCTGTTTGGGGAAGTAAGTTGGTAGATACTTAATTTCTTCAAGAACAATTAAAAATTATTACTTAGGCAGTTCAGTGATTGTGTATGAGAAGGCCTGAAACACAAAGAAAATTTAGCTATAATTTATGGTGAGGTTTGTTTTTTGTTTTTTACTGGTCTACCTTGAAAGTCAATAGAAAACATTGAGGGAGATGTTGTTTTTTTCCCTTTCTCCAAAGTTGAATCGTTATACAAAGTCAAAACAATCCTACAGAACTCATGGTTAAATTTGCAGTGAAATTGCAAGATTTTAAGACCCGACAAATAGAAAAGCAAGTTAGTATGAGGCTATAGAAGCAAAGGGTGAGGTTATAGAGAGAGTCCCCCAAAACTTCTTTCTTGGTGCGAGTTGGGGTGCCATCCCAGAAATATGTTTTAGGAATGTTGTCTGCTCTGAATGGTACCCTACTTTGAGGGGGTGATGCTAGTCCTTCATGCATTAATAAGTTTGTCTCAGGCAGGGTGTGAGAGATGACCAAGAACAGATTGTTGTGCGCTCAGATTTAGTCATAAGAAATGCAGATGCCCAAGTTAGCAGTGTTTGAATGTTATCTTCGGAATGTAGATTCTCACAAAGGCCTGAGAGAGACCTGTGATTTTTGGTGCAGTTGTGCCAAAAAAAAAAAAGCTTAGATGCTTGTAGACTTCTAACCAAAGTCTCTGTGGAAGTATTTTGGAGAAACCCACCATGTTGTGTCTAGGGACCAGCAAATTTCAAAGAATCTTCCTGTGTCTCATTGTGTAGATTTTAAGGGTAGCACAAAAAGGACAAAATATTTTAAATTAAAGTCCCTACCCAAGGCCAAAGTAAAAGTCTGTACAGAAAACTTGAGTTCCTTTGCAACTAAGTGAAATCGGGCTGTTGGTGTTGACACCCTAAAATTTCATTAGACAATGTAGTTTTAAGGACATGTTCAAAACCAGAAGCTGAGATATGGCCACAAATGGTGAGTGATTACAGCTGGGGGCTTCACGTAGGGAATCTCATGATATAAAGGTCTCTTTCTATCAGGTGAAGCTCAGGCCAGAACTGTAGCTGTATCTCAATTTCATTGAATATCTGACTAACAAAATTTCGTAAAAGTTTGCTGCAGTGAAAAATCTGTGTAAAAATGAATAGATGCTTTGAACAAAAAGGGTGTAGGCTTGTGTTTTTAAAACCAAATGTATACAAACAAGTATAGTGTGAAAACAAAAAGAAATTGAACTCCCTTGTCCAATACTGAAAGAAGATACTGTTGTGGGATGGTATGTTGACACTCCTGCACAGTATAGGTGTATCCAGGCCAACTTGGGCTTTAGCAGCAGTCCAGCCATAGAAGCAGAGACATATTTGTTTTCTTTCTCAGCTGACTCAGTTTACTCTTTAATAATTGGTAGCTCAACAAAATGAAGTAGCCCATGTGGACCTCTGCTTTACTTGTCGCTGGACTGTTTGGATGACCTAAAATAGATGAGGTAACTCTGGGCCATGTTGTGTTACTAAAATGTGATGAAACAGCAGAATGGCTTTTGACAGAATGCTATAACAGCTGTCTAACTATCCCATGTAGTAGGGTCGGTGGGGACTAGTAGGAAAGCCTGAGGAGAATCTGTAGGGGTACAAGGGTTGTACTTACACTGAATGTAGCACTAATAATGCACATTGAGTAGTTCAAACTATTTCCTATATACCTAATTTAATTTTAAGGTATTTTTACAGGATTCAATTGAAAGTCTAGACTTACAATAAATTTTTAAAATTATTCACTGGATTTTCTTCATGTGTGAGCAAAACCAATTACAGAAAAACAGAAAACCCAGAAAACTACATGTAGTGATTTAATGGAACATTACTGGAATGTACAGTGTAGTCAAGTAAATAAGTGTTTTGTCCTGCATAGCTGCAGCTACATTCACTTTATGTCATGCAGCCACCAAAATTATTGTAGTCCCTTATGAAGTGTTCAGAAAAATGACATGGAGAAGGGGCACGGTAAAGGTTGTAACTGGGATTCAGAGTTTAAAAACCTATTTTGTTTTTAGAGGAATACTTTTATATGAGCAACGTTAATTGCAGCAGTTTGGGTTATTATAATAAATGGACCTTAACAGAGACGTAAGTAATCACTGTAACGATTAGTTGGGCTTAAAATTTAATGAAAACTTTGCAGTGGAGTGGAGTTGTGATTATTTTTTTTTTATTATTTTTTCTTTTACTGTTTGAAAGAGGTTTTCTATGAAGCAGGTGGTACTGACTGGTCTCTCCTCCTTTGATCTAGTATTTTAATTCGAATGTTATTTACACTTCTCTACATACACGCACACAAAATTGTATTTCATGTTATTGGACCACTGGTATTTCTCTTATGCTATCTGTGAAAAGGTGGCTTTGTTTTTCTTGAATTGCATGGTAAATTGTCAGCACTCAAGACATTCATCTAGAATTTATCCCAGAAAGGTCAGAATTGTGTTTTATATTCTTCAGGTTTGTAAATATTGCAAACTTGTAGTACCATGTCCAGTGAAGTTTTGGAGCCAGGTATTGATAATCCTAACCTTGTGATCTCTTAATTGGGTCCTGTTAATAGTTATTCAGAGTCTTCTGGGAAGTTTTGAATAAAGTACATTCATTTAACTCCAAGCAGATGTCACAATGTAAAAAATGAAGCAGCAGAGGAAATTGGAAGATAATTTCCAAGGATGAGGACTTTGGGTGAAGAGTAGATCTTCATCCAGAATATCCAAATATAATAAAAATAAGTTGGCTTTTTGATGAAATGACAGTGTTTGTCAGGACGTTGTACATTGTGTACCAGAGGGATCAGGTGCTTTAGCAGGTACAAAAAGATCTGATTGCTAACTGGTTACCAAAATTGGTTCCGGAAATATTTTAATAGGTTTCTGGAGCAACTGCTTGTATTATTGTACCCTTAGTTTGCCAGTCATGGAATATTAAGCTTTTGATCCGCTTTTAAGTCCAGATGATTTAAAGCCTATTCTTTATGAGACTGGAAGTATTCCACAAGTGTGTTTGTGTATGAGTGTTTTATTGCTTTCTAACTTGAAGGTAGCTCTCCTGGACCACAAAGTCCAATTTCAGAAGCAGACTTAAGCCTTGTGACACTCTCGGACAACTTCCTCCTTTTCAGAAGACAAAGAAAAGAAAAAACAAGTTTAAAAATGCTCTTTTGCTGTGACAGAAAAGTTAGGACCCCTTCAGTTACTGGTCAGTAATGAAGACAATTACCCATTTGTTGCACACACATCAGGTTAATGAGCTCTGGGGGGGAACTGCTTGCCCAAATATAAATGAGATTTCAATGATGACCAAATAAAGTCAGTATCTGGTAAGAAGAGAATGCCAGAACAGACAAATTGCATCACCATGAAGCTGAAGGACGTGTATTTCTGCACAATGGCTTTCCAGGTGACATCTAGGAATCTGTTGCACCTTACATTGGCTGAAGAAGTCAGATGAGTTCATTCATCAGCACAGGTCCTTAAACTTTCCTGTTTTGTCTACTGGACCCCACTTGAAGTCAGAACAAGCTCTTTGCATAAATTCTGGGCAGTTAGACTGTTCTGCCTTATTTTTGGCTGGTAAAGCAATCTGGGTAACAGTTATTTTTCATTGCTGAAGTGGTCAGTGCTACTGCAGAAATACTTCAGTAAGAAGGAAAAGGGGTTTGTCAGTAAGTATGATTTGGTGGGGATTTTGTTGGACGACTTCTGTGATTCAAACATCTGTGTTCTGAACTTTTAAAAACTGAATTTAAAGTGATAAGCTAATTTAAAATTTAAGCAACTTCTCAACATCTGTAACCTGACCTTCTGAAAAAGAGAGGAAGTTGGTACCTGTGAAATGAATGGGGGGGATATGTTAGCTTAAGTTTATAAAGGGGAAGGAGGTAATTTGTACTTGGCAGATTACAGAAGAGCTGTAGGGGAAGGGAGAATCCTACTGTGCTGTAAAAACTATCAATTCTATTGTGGGTGTGTTTTTCCACATCTGGTAAACTTAAGATTTTTTTTGTTCAAGCTCATCTTTTGAAAGCTTCATAGGCCTTTCTTGAGCATCATGACTGAAAGACAAGAAATAAGTCATCCATTGGGAAATATTTTATGCTATGGTAGCTGGGTATGTTTTCATCTGGGAACTTCAAAAGATGCCAAATTACTTACTCATCAGCTCTGTTATGCAACCTGATCATACACCCCAATTGCTCCCTCCTGCCCCAACCTTCCAGAGTACACGAGGAGAACTGTGGTAGACCTGTAGTTGCTCAGTGAGGATCTTCCATTTAAATACTTCTGAGATTCATCAAAACAGTTCCTTAAACCCCTTATGAAAAAACATGTTGTAAGTGAAGGCGTCGCAGGCTGCTTCTCTTTATACACTGTAAATCAGCAGTTTAAACACTGTTAAGGTCACCAGCTTGAATGCCAACATCCTATGCTATGTTGGCATAGTAGCCTGCCTTGAGTACACAAATGAGCTCCTCAGTTCTGAGGAGTATCTTGAAGTTACTGCCAAGCTTATCCATGTCATCCTCTCCTTTAAGATCTTCCATTTCAAAATTCAATGTTTTCTACAGGCTGTGGGCACCCATATGGTCCTGCAGTATTTCAATCCTCACAGGAGCTCTTTTGGAGAGACTTAATGTAGTTACACTGTCACCTGTGTATTAAAGGTATGCCTTGATTGTTTGGGTTGGAATCCTGGACTTGTTGGATTTATTTTTTTTTTTTTTCCACCATAAATTCAGTAACAATTACTTCTTATTTAAAATGCTGCCGGGATGCCTGAACTGCCATCACTTTTCTTTAAGCATCCTTGTTAATATCATTTATGGAAGTTACAAACTGCAGTATATAGGAAACCTGCAAACCATCAAAACTGGCTTCGTAAAATACTCTCTAGACTGGCAGCAGAAAGCTAAAACATACAGCCATGCCCTCATACAGGTATTGCAGGTGTGAGAGCAAACAGCA